GTGCCATTCACACACACTAGTTTAAATCTCTGTACTTAGGGCAACTGTAAAAATGGGGATTATAATGCTTACTCACCCCCTTAAAATGGTTTAAGACTTCTAAACAAAAAGAGGACTACACTAGGTAACTACAACTTTATCAATAGCTACAGTTGTCAGGTGAGATAACTAAGACACAAAATGTTAAAACCAATGTTTTAACCTGGTATCTAAGAGGTTAGGCCAGGGGTCTCAAACACGCGGGCTGAGCTCTTCTCTGCGGCCGGCCAAGCGCCCCCGTTACTTCCTGTCGCCGCCAAACTCCCCCCCGAGTTATTTTATGTGGCAGCTAAGCTCCCCGCGCGCTGCTCCCTAATGTTTGGGGCTGGGTCTCTCCCCCGGCCCCACCTGCTGCCCCCACGCACCTCCCCCGAGTGTCCCCCAGCCTCACTTCCTGCCCCCTCACCGCCTGGAGCCTGCAGCTCATGCTGACTCCGCTCGGCTCTGCCGGCTTCCAGCATCACCTGCTGCCGCAGGGTCCTAGTGCCTCCCTCCACTAGGGCCAGGGCAGGCTGCCCTTCCCCTGCCCTAGTCCCGAGCCTCTCCAATGCCCCAAACCCCTCATCCCCAGCCCCACAGCCCTCACCCTTACACCCCCTCCTATCCCCAAACTCCATCCCAGAGCCTGCACCCCCACCCCCTGCCCCAGCCCATAGCCTGCACCCAGCACCTAAACTCCCTCCCAGAGTCTGCACCCCAGACCCCTTCCCCCATCCAAACTCCCTCCCAGAGCCTTAGGAGGTGGGGGCAGGGCTCCTTGCATGACCACAGGGCCAGTGACACTGGACATCTGCAGATGCAAGGGGGAGGATGGTGCCTTGGAAGGGCAGAACAAAGGCACTCCCCATCCCAGGCCAGGATTGCAAGGAGGAACATGTATATTGGAATGTGAGAGTTTGTGATATCTGCCTCACCTGTCAAAGTCACCAGCTGCCACTAACTCAATCCCAGCTGAAAGGAGCAACAGAGTGGATAGTCCCCAGCAAACAGTGAAGAATGAACGAGACAGAAAAATAGGTTTGTAAGCTTGATTGTCAGGACGATTTTGATATAAGTCAACGTGTGCTGATCACATGCCTCAAAAGGGAGGATACCAGGCCCAAACCTGTTGTCAAGTCAAAGCTGATAAAGGATACAGAAAAAACAGCCACATTTTTGGCTTGCTATTAAGGTTATAGGCACGCAAAAAAAAAAAGCCACCGAAGCTGAACTCAGCTGTTTTATAGCAGAGCAATGAACTATTTTTTTTTTTTTTTTTTAAACTAAAAGTACCTTTCAGAGATGATTCAAGTCACCAAATTAGAATCTGGATTTCAAGCACTTCAATGTTCAGAAGTATTTGGATCTGAAGTTTTGGTTCAAGCTTATGTATTGTATAACTATTACAGCGTTTTAATATCTTTTCTAAACTTAACAGGCACATTTCAAATAAAGTATTTTTCAGTCAAGGTAATGGATTTATCCCCTCACATGCTCATGTCTGAAGATGACAAAAATATCTACCAACAAATTGTTTCTCTCCAGCACTCCTGGCTGTAATGTAATAGTTTATCTTGTCTGGAGTGTCAGAAGCCTCAAATTTCTCCCCATAACCCATTTTACTTGCTTACTCCATCCTTGCATACCATGCTCTCTATGTAGACACATCATGTGGGAGAACTTGACAGAGCACTTTTGGAGCTGAATTGTCAATTAGAACAAGATGATAAAGGTCACAAGATCAAGCAACTGGAGTGCTATAGATTTACACCTCAGCTTGTCCCATAGTAAGTGTAAACAAACATTGACAACCTGTTTTGCCTGTTACTACTTGGAGCATTTATGTCATTGAGTATTATGTGCTATCTTTCTAAAGTATCAGAGGGGTAGCCGTGTTAGTCTGAATCTGTAAAAAGCAACAGAAGGTCCTGTGGCACCTTTAAGACTAACAGAAGTATTGGAGCATAAGCTTTCATGGGTGAATGCCCACTTCATCAGACGCAGTCTTTGTTTAATCCTGATCTGATGGTGTCAAATTTGCAAATGAACTGGAGCTCAGCAGCAGGGCTGGCTCCAGGCACCAGCTGAGCAAGCTGGTGCTTGGGGCGGCAGATTGTTCGAGGCGGTATTCTGCCCAATCCTAGGGCGGCACAGCCGGGGTTTTTTTGTTTTTTTTTGGTTCCGCTCCAACCGCCCTGTAGGGGGTGGCGGCGCGGAAAACCAGAGCGCCCTGCATGTCCGTCCTCTTCCTTCCCGCCCCGCTGAGCACAGCAGAGCCCTCGCGGCAGGCGGCAGCGCAGCGGGAGGGGCCACGTGGCAGCACCCCTCGCTGTAGCCCTGGCCACCCCCTTCCTCTCTCTCTCTCTCCCGCCCACTCCCTCCCTCTCCCCTCCCCCCACCAGCCGGTCCCCCTGCATCCGCGCTCCGGCTACATGCAACAAACCTCGATGCCAACTCTGCCCACATATCTACACCAGCAACACCATCACAGGACCTAACCAGATCAGCTACATCATCACTGGCTCATTCACCTGCACGTCCACCAATGTTATATATGCCATCATGTGCCAGCAATGCCCCTCC